AACTAGAGACACAAATGAGCCAGAAAGATTTCTATTCAGTTGTTTAACTGACAATAAGTAAAATAAGTTATAGAAGTCGTTAAAGTTACCTCGATGCAAAATTGTTAATGTAAATAAGATAAAAGCGAGAGAAATAATTCTTTCCGTTAATCTAAGAACTTGGAAAGACGGGGCTATACGGAGCCGAGCTCCTCTCTGAAAGTACATCTTCTTCTTGAGGTTATCTGGAGATGGTTTCGGGGCTTTAGTGTCCCCGCGGCCCGGTCCTCGACCAGGCCTCCACCCCCAGGAAACAGCCCGTGACAGCTGACTAACACCCAGGTACCTATTTTACTGCTAGGTAACAGGGGCATAGGGTGAAAGAAACTCTGCCCATTGTTTCTCGCCGGCGCCTGGCATCGAACCCAGGACCACAGGATCACAAGTCCAGCGTGCTGTCCGCTCGGCCGACCGGCTCTTGGTGAGGAAAAAGAAGAAAAAATACACAAACACACAAATACACACCAAATCCTTAGAATAGTCAAAGGCACCTTAGACCAAGAAAAAAGTAGTTCTACAAGTGTATCACTCGGGGCGCACCAGAGTGATACTGGTACAGAACTTATTTTACTTATTGACAGTTAAAGAACTGTATTACTCACTGGTGCGGCCCCACTTGTATTATTGTATACAAGCATGGACACCTCATCTTCAGAAGCACATAAATGCTTTGGGAAAAGTTGACCACCGGGCAACACTAATAATTCCTGAACCGAGTCATCTCTCATACCAGGAACGGTTGAGGGCCACAGGACCAACAACACTACACACCAGACATGACAAGGCTCATATAATCCAAACTTTTAATATACTGAACAGTTTTGAGGACATTGATCCAGACAACTGTTTCAAGATGTAACACAAACAAAGAGCAACAGCGTCAAGCTCAACAAGCCACAATGTTGGACTGAGAACAGGAGAGGCTTTCTCACCTACAGGGTTATAAACCCATGGAACCGCCTACCCGCCGAAGCCGTCAATGCCAAAACATTGCTGCAGTTCAAAATCCAACTGGATAAAATCATCAGAACAAATGGGGGGACCTTTGACAAGCCGCCGGTTTCTTGTCCTCGTCGAGGCCACTAGAAAGATATTGACCCTCAGGTGAATATAAACACACACACACACACACACACACACACACACACACACACACACACACACACACACACACACACACACAACAGGAATAACAGTCCTGGAATAAATATGTCTTTGATATCCCCAGTCAAACTAAATCTGTGCAAATACTCCATGTAAATAAAAGGAGTCAGTCTATGGAAGTCACTCCCTGATGAATTAACAACTTGTCCAGCTCATGCCCTATTTAAAAGTAAAATCCCAAAGTAGGTAATGTGATCCTGATAGTTTCGTAGCTTGTGCTTCAAACTCACACTGTATCTTGTACTACCCACTTCCCAATATTAGTACTTAACACATATATATCTTCACCAGTGTGGTCACTTGTGTCAACTTATATTGTAGTTATATGTTGATATAAAACCTCCCTACAATGTACCTTTTCATCTTACCTGATATGTTAGATTAAGGACCTGCCCGAGACGCTATGCGTGTTACTGGCTTTGTAAGAATGTCAAAATATCACTCTAATGTATTCTCACCAACCCATTGTACCTTCTTCTACATAAATTATTATTATTATTATTATTATTATTATTATTATTATTATTATTACATAACAATTTTCCTACTTTCAGGAGCCGGCGAGGTCGGGCAGAGTCCGGGGTGTCGCCTAACAATCAGGTTATCAAGGTCAGTCTTCATATTAACTTATGATATAAATAATTGAAAACCTTGTGAACGTTATCTTGAGATGATTTCGGGGCTCTGCGTCCCCGCGGCCCGGTCCTCGATCAGGCCCCCTTTTTGTTACAACCCCCCCCCCTCCCCCTAGAAAGCAGCCCGTAGCAGCTGTCTATCTCCCAGGTACTTATTTACTGCTAGGTGAACAAAAGTATCAGGGTGAAAGAAACTCTGCCCATCTGTTTCCACCGGCGCCAGGAATCTAATCCCGGACCACAGGACTACGTATCCAGAGTGTTGTCTACTCAGCCCCTATGTGTGTACTTACCTGTTTGTACTTACCTAGTTGTGCTTGCGGGGGTTGAGCTCTGGCTCTTTGGCCCCGCCTCTCAACCGTCAATCAACTAATGTACAGATTCCTGGGCCTACTGAGCTCTATCATATCTACACTAGAAGCTGTGTATGGAGTCAGCCTCCACCACATCACTTCCTAATGCATTCCATTTGTCTACAACTCTGACACTGAAAAAATTCTTTTTATCGTCTCTATGGCTCATTTGGGCACTCAATTTCCACCTGTATCCCCTAGTATGTGTGCCCCTTGTGTTAAATAGCCTGTTTTTATCACCCTATCAATTCCTCTGAAAATCTTGTATGTGGTGATCATGCCACCCTAACTCTTCTGTCTCCCAGTGACGTGAGGTTTAATTCCCGTAGTCTCTCCTCGTAGCTCATACCTCTCAGCTCGGGTACTAGTCTGGTGGCAAAACCTTTAACCTTTTCCAGTTTAGTCTTATGTTTGACTAGATATGGACTCCATGCTGGAGCCCCATACTCCAGGATTGGTCTGACATATGTGGTATATAATGTTCTGAATGATTCCTTACACAAGTTTCTAAAGGCCGTTCTTATGTTGGCCAACCTGGCATATGCCGCTGATGTTATCCTCTTGATATGGGCTTCAGGAGACAGGTCTGGCGTGATATCAACCCCTAAGTCTTTTTCTCTCTTTGACTCTTGAAGTATTTCATCTCCCAAATGATACCATGTATCTGGTCTCCTGCTCCCTGCACCTATCTTCATTACATTACATTTGCTTGGGTTAAACTCTAACAACCATTCCTGCAGCTTGTCCAGGTCTTCTTGAAGACCTGGGGTGACACGGGATATTGAACACCATCAAGTGATGTTATCGATTGTGATGACTCATCTCCATTCGAGGATGTGTCAGTGACATCCTGTCACTGAAGACAACATGAGTAGCTGGCCCGTGCCAGGGTTACCATCAGCAGTGTGACAGCAGGCGCATGGATGACACCCTCCGTCTGTCATCCATGTACCCAGACGGTGTGTCACCCGTGTTACCCCAGACGGTGTGTCACCCGTGTCACCCCAGACGGTGTGTCACCCGTGTCACCCCAGACGGTGTGTCACCCGTGTCACCCCAGACGGTGTGTCACCCGTGTCACCCCAGACGGTGTGTCACCCGTGTCACCCCAGACGGTGTGTCACCCGTGTCACCCCAGACGGTGTGTCACCCGTGTCACCCCAGTCGGTGTGTCACAGTATACAACACAGAAATCACAAACACTAAAGCAGGAAAGCCTCAGTATACAAAATGATGAGATGTTTACATGTGATATCAACATATATGGGCAGCACAAAACGTGGACCAGACTGTGCGACACAGTGGTTGCCAGGATCAGGTTGGGTTACCGTTACCTGTGGCAGGTGGCTACAGGTGACGGATCTCCCAATCCTGAGCACTCCAGGTGCAAACTCTGTGAGCAGGAACTGCGGCATGATCTCACGCACTACATCATTAAATAACTGGTCATTAGACCTTTCAGACCAGCTGGTATGAGGTACCTGAAGCATTGCGATTACTTTATCCACTCTAGAGAATAACTCAGCCACAATTTGCCAGCGAAAGGTACTGATAACTAACCATCTTTTGAGATGGGACTGTTAATATGACACAGCTTGCTCTTGACACGAACTATATAACTCGTCACATAGTCTAGGGTAGCTGCGTAAATGCAGATGTATCTAAGTATGTTAATAACAATAACGACAAAACGACCCATCAGTAACCATCGGCGCACGCTGAACCTTGTTGACTTTCACGGATGGTTGTATCTAATCTCCAGGATGCGGGACTTCTGTTTCCTGAATGAATAATTGTTTTAATTCTCTGACCTTCCTAAAGAAGTCATATTTATTATGTTAATTGTAAGACTAACTCATCTTTCTTGTTAACTTGTGCCTCGGTCACCACAGCCTCCATCACCACACACACACCACCACCACACACACACACCACCACCACACACCACCACACACACACCACCACACACACACCACCACACACCACCACCACCACCACACACACCACCACATACACCACCTCCACACACCACCACACACACACCACCACACACCACCACCACCACCACACACACCACCACACACACACCACACACACACCCTTTTCCTTACCTAACATCATTTGTGCAGCTAGTATATTTTTATTTTATGTCTCATCCAGATTTAATTTCAAAATAAAACCAAACTAAATAAATTAGAAATGGGTATGTATAGCTAAGGTACACCCTTACTACTAGGTGAACAGGGGCATTTGGTGATAGTAAATGATCCCATCAGGCAGGGCTCATCACCTTCTCTCATATTTCATGTTCACCAGTGTTTATTTACTTAATAACTACTGGTATAATATCTTGCTATTATAAAACTAATTCTACTATCATCAAACACATATTTACTTCAAGTTTCAAACAGAGAATGCATATATAACTAACACGAATGATTACTCTTCACTAGATTCACTAGCTATAATATTTTGGTCATGTTCCAATATCATAAATCGATCCCAGTGTTATGTAGTAGAGAAAAAATGACTTATATCCAGTTTACGTAAAGCTACGAGTGGTCGAAACCACACTTAAATCCCGGAATGAACTTACGAAGGTTTTTCCACTTAGGGTAGTTAATTGAATACGGACGTAGCCGCCACGAAGGCGCTAAGACGGAAAACGCTCTTAGCTAAGAGGAAAAACCTTCGTAAGTACCTTCCTGAATCCGGCCCCTGTCTAGCTGAGGCCACTAACCCTAGTGGCCTCGACAAGGACAGGAAGCCGGCAGCTTGTCGAAGGTCCCCCCCCCACCCTATTTCGCTTGATGATCTTTTCCAGGTAGATTTTAAAACTTAACAGTTACATTTACTGCTTCGGCGGGTAAGCGGTTCCATGGGTTTATAACTCCGTGGGTGAAAAAACATCTGTTCTCTGTACGTGTCATGACAAGTTGGAAAATATCCTCAGGAACAATGGGGGACTTTTGACAAGCCGCCTTCTTCCTATCCCCGTCGATGCCAGCAGATAGTAGACCTCGGGTAGATTCACGTAAATTTACTTGAGTTTACTCTCTGGTCTCCATCTTCTGTGAGGTGACGGGACGCTGAGAGCCACGACCACAACACCACACTGGCGGCAGATACTCTCACCCAGCACACACACAAGCTGCTGCTGGTGGGGACGTGGAGCTTGTTCCAGGCCACGCTGCTACAGGTCACGCTGCTACAGGGGCACGTTGCTACAGGGGGCACGCTGCTACAGGGGCACGTTGCTACAGGGGGCACGTTGCTATAGGGGGCACGTTGCTACAGGGGGCACGTTGCTACAGGGGGCACGTTGCTACAGGGGCACGTTGCTACAGTGGGCAACAGTGGGCACGTTGCTACAGGGGCACGTTGCTACAGGGGGCACGTTGCTACAGGGGGCACGTTGCTACAGGGGGCACGTTGCTACAGGGGCACGTTGCTACAGTGGGCACGTTGCTATAGTGGGCACGTTGCTATAGTGGGCACGTTGCTACAGGGGCACGTTGCTACAGGGGGCACGTTGCTACAGGGGGCACGGTGCTACAGGGGGCACGTTGTTACAGGGCCACATGCTGCTACAGTGGGCACGTTGCTACAGGCTAAGTTGACGCATATCTGTGGTCAATCACATTACCCGTTAGCTGCTGCAGGGCAGTTGTCATTCTTTATTCTGGTCGGTATTATCCGGTGGGAGTGAACCTTTGGGGACTAGAGGTGTGTGCCCTGGAAGTGTACCCTGGAGGTGTGCCCTAAAGGTGTACCCTAAAGGTGTGGCCAGGGGGTGTACCGTGAAGGTGTGTGTGTCCCATTGGAGCAACTCTGGAGGGGGGAGTGTTCTTCCCCTCTTCTTGGAACAGGAATTTGGGAACCTCCTTTTGGCACCAGTAATCCATGATCTTGTTTCTGCCAACTCTGGCTAATTTGATGAGCACCCCATGGAAGTCCGTCAAATAGTAGTTTATTGAGCACCCCATGGTAGTTCTCTAAGCAGTAATCTATTGAGCACCCCATGGTAGCTTATTGTGCATCGTATGATAGTCCTCAGAGCAGTAGTCTATTATGCATCCCATGGTAGCTTAACAAGGACCTTACAGTAGTCCTGTGAGTATTAGCATAACAGAATTAGAGGGCACAAAATTGTTTAATTATATTTTGGTTTGGTGTGGGAGTGTAACTTTCATGTACTTTTGAATCAAATTATAAAGGTATAAATGGTTATGGAACCTTTGTAATTTGCAATACTCTAATTGTAATGGATAATGTTACAGTGTGCTGTATATTAGGATAAAATCTAATATAACTTGTAATATCTTGTAATAAGTAATACCGTGTGCACTACATCAAATATTGCAGTTTTAAATGTACTCACAAAGTTTACATTGCATAATTCTTTCTTCATTATATTTATCTACTACAGTAGTAGCAGCGTTTAGATATAGTGTGAGAATTTCAGATATCATATATAAAAGTGGTGTGTGTCTTGCTGCATATGTTAATTAAAGATCTCTCAGTATGGCTCATTTTTCACAGTCCAATATGTAATGGCATTTCCTCATTTGTGGTATAAGACAGTTAAAAGTAGTGCTTATCCTTGTCGCTGATTGCCTAGCTTTAGTTTACTTGTCTGTTCTGTGCCTGGCTAGCTGTTTCATTTTAGGGTAATATTGCAAACTTCCTTAAAGGCTGAGTGAAAGGACACAGTGGAAGCTGTTCCTTCAACTGTTGTACCATATACGGACAACTTTAACAGACATGGACAGAGAATATTACGCGTTGTGTCAGTATTCAGGATGCCAGGCAGAGTTAGTAGATGCTGATGATCATCAATATTGTTTACGGCATGCATCCTGTTGGGTGCAAGGTTGGTTTCATCCTAGGTTATGTGAGGTCTGTGGCAAGTTGGTGTCTTCCCTTATTGATCCTCCATCAAGGTGGCATGCTTATAATGCAGCCACCAGGCTATGGGATAGGGCACAGAAATATAGGAGGTGGCGGTTGCAGTTTCAGGGTGAATCTGTGGCAGCCCAAGACCAAATCTTCATTGATAAAGACTTGGAAGCTTTAATAGAGACGACATGTGCTTCATGTTCTAAAGAGAGGAAGTATTCTTCCCATTCATCATTCTTTAATCCCTCGTCTGTGCAGTGCAGGCAAGCAATTGGCTCGAATGGCTTCAAACAGGCTAGGGCCTCGCTTACTGGCCAGAAGAAGAGAGCGAAGCGACTCAAGGTTTGTGTAGACAGGAAGCAAGACTTTAGGTCATCATACCAAAAATCTGCTAACTTTAAGAGACCCCAAGTTCCAGATAAAAATGAGCTTTACAGCTCTTTGGAGCCAAAATTTCACTCTGATACCTCCTGGGAAGGCCAGAAGGCTAGAAGGCAGGGTAAAAATGTTGAGCCTTTTGGTCCTAGAGCAGAAGAACAGTCGTTAGATTATTTCACTCATTCCTCACTTGTCAGTTCAAAAGCAGGTCCTTCCTATAGAGGAAACGAGATTCTTCCAACTATAGAGGCTGATGCAGATCATTGGGTACCATTAGAACCATCTTGGGTTCTGGAGATCAGAGATGAAGGTACTTTCCTGCAGGTGGGTAAGGTCTTCTATGCCCCAGCACAATACGAGCTTGACAGGTCCTGGTTCCCTCCTCGAGTTCGCTTCTTTCCCTCTTCAGAAGATCCTGTGCAGGATGATAAAGATTCTGTGCTAGATGCTAAACCTGTACTAGAAGCTGAAGAACCTATGCAATGCACTGAATCTATACTAGACACAGAGGGTCCTGTGCTCAATTCGGTTCAAACACCCCAGCTACCAGCTGCTAAAGTCAGTAATGATTTGAATTCATGCAAGTCAAGAAACGAGCAAGTGCCATCATCTTCTTGGCTATCAAACTATTATTTGTTCTCAAACAGCAAATGGCAGTCTTTTTGTCGTTCCCAGGATGTAGACTGGAAGGAAGTTGCTTCTGTTTTTAATGCTGCCTTAGCAGGCGAGACACTGGAGCTCCATACTAAGGTCCTCCATGCGCCTTCCCTTGCTAAGGACATAGCTTCCAGTCAGTTGCATGTGCAGGTGGCACCATTGTCACAGCAGCTTGTTGCGGCAGATTTTGAGGCACGCCAACGCTTGTCTGAGGTAATCAGGGTAGTTACTTCACAGAAATTAGATTTAGAACAAAAGAGTGATGCTTCACAGGCACTCACACCTTTGCGAGATGCAATTACTGATTTCTTTGCTGCTCGTTTTGCTTGTCGTAAGTCAGTGCTATCTCAATTTCAGGATTCACGGTTAATTGACAGTCTCCTTCATTCTAGTCCATTTAGTGTCTCGCTTTTTCCTGATGAGGAAGTTAAGAAGATTCTTAACCGAGCACGTTCATCTGGTCGGCGTCTCTCCCAGATCTTTCGGTTAAGATTAGTGGGAGGGTTTCCTCCTAGGAAGGCAGTCGCAAAAGAAGTTCAGCCAGTTGACCCCTTGATAAAAAATAAAGTATCAGCATTTCATGATCCCTTGAAAGAATTGGTGTCAGATATTCCAGTACAGGATTCCTTAACAGACAGAAATTAAAATTTTGGAGCAGGCAGATTTTGCTAAGGCATGTTAAAAAAATATGGCAAGTTGCCAATTGACAGGAAAGGTATTCTAGTGGGGGGTAGAGTTCAAGCTTTCAGAAATGTCGGGACCAGAGATTCTTGGGCTAGTAAGATGACAAAAAAAGGGTCTTAGTTGGCATTGGTGTTCTGAGGCTCCTGAACATCCAATAAGCAGCCATCCTCGCCACTTATTCAGCTATATATCAAAGATGCTAAAGAAGGGTATCATTTGCAGGACTTAGTCTTTGTGGGTTCAATCTTTCCTAAACCTAGTAGAGAAGAAGGCAACTTCCAAAAAAAGTATGATTCTAGATCTGAAAATACTCACATACCAAGTGTCAAGTTTCAACTTACACCACTAGAAAGAGTCAGGCAGCTGCATATGGACCATGATTGGTTGGTGCCTATTGAAATTCAGGATGCTTACTGGCATATATCTATTAATCCTGTATTCCGAGATTACCTCGGGTTCATAGTGGAGCTAGAAAGTTACCACTTCAAAGCACTTCCGTCCAGCTTGAGCTTGGCACCAAAAAATTTACAAAACTTTAACAGACTGATGGTCGAGGAACTTGAGACCAAAGGCATTCATGTTCTGGCCAATCTAGATGAGAGGTTGGTCTGGGCCCCCAATAGAAAACAGTGTGCCGTAGCCATTCACAAGTGCTACAATATTGAGGCTTCCTGGTCAATTTGAAAAAATCTTGGTTACCATTATCTCGGACATTAACCTGGTTAGGTGTAACATGGAATACAACATTTGCTTCCTTCTCTTCAACAGCCAACATTCAAGCGTGTTCATGCTCATCTGCGCCTTTTTCAAGGCCGCCGTTTTGTAACTCGCAAAGATTTAGAAAAACTTGTAGATAGGTTGAATGTTGCATGTGTTGTTTACCCTTTAGGTCAGGTGTGACTAAAGGAACTACGAAGATATCTCGGATTCTTTGCTCATCAAGAAAAGCGAGAACTGCTGGTCCACTTACCCAAAGCATTGAGATCCTTGCTTGAGAAGTCATTTCCACCAAAAGTTTTTCAGGGTTTTGTTCCTTGGAGGGCCACCACCTCCATCACTGGAGATCTTCACAGATGCTTCTCCCAATGGTTGGAGTTTTGTACCCAGTCTTCATCACACAGGTCAAGGCTCTTGGCAGTCAACCTTAGCTCAAGCCCTTGCTAATATCAGTGTCATGTGGATTGCCCTCAAGAGGATTGCTCCCCAAAGATCATCTTCCATTCAAGTTTATTCAATCAACATTACTGCTGTCAATTATCTAAATAAAGCGGGGGGGGGTTCAACCTGGGGGCCCTTTCTCTGTAGCACTGGATATTGGTCATAGCTCGGTTTCTGGCGTCTCATGATATGCTCCTCAATGCAGTCCATATTAGAGATGATTATGGTGTTTTTGCAGATGAACTGTCTTCTTTCTGTCTAATTTGGACGCAGTGGAAGTTAAACACTGCATCATTTCATTGGATTTATCACTCATTTGGCACTGCTCTAGTGGACCTCTTTGCAACAGCTTGGAATTACAAACTACATGAGTTTGTGGCTCCCTTCTGAGTATGCAATGCAGTTACAATAGATGCCTTGGGGGTTAGACTGGAATCAGTGGGATGTAATTTATCTTTTTCTTCCAGTCCAGATTCTGCAAAAGGTTTTAGAGAAAATAGGAAGTTTTACTGATCGCACAATCTTAATTGCTACTTTTTTGCGACTCCCAGCCCTAGTTTCCATTCCTGCTACCTAGATGCCCATCTCCTGTCAAAATTCCCGACCCTATTCTCACTCAGAAGATTGGGAGACTCGTGTATTCGACCTGTCCAAACCTTTGTGCAGATCTTCATGTGTGGAGTTCTTAAGTTTGATATACAGTACAGTGGAACTTGAATTTGATTACTGTGCTGTAATTGGGTGCTCTATCCATTCCATTAAATCTGTAATACTGCACTCTGCATTTAAATCAAACTTTTGTTACTTTTTTGTAGCAAATTTATACATCACAGAACACATATTTGCACTCACATGATGTATAAACAATGCAGTTTTAAACCTTTTTGATCAACCTTATCTTTGATTCAGTGTCAGCAGAATATAGGTAAAGAATACTGTATTGTATAGGAAGACAGTATTGTTTAGAGAGAGGAACTCAATACTAAATACCATCTTCATCTTGCTGAGCAGCACTTTTGGAACCATTTCAATTATTCCCAGAGATTAACTATTTCCAGTCCTTGCCCAAGGACTCTAGGGTCTGCATGAGTGTGTGCAACCCTTTGGTGTAAACTGTGCAAGAGCTGGAAAAGTATACACCGTGTGAAAAGTTTTATACAGTACAGTACATATATATTTTTCTGAAAGTTTTAATGCTGAGATGAAGTGGTCATGAGAGATAAGTAAAGCCTTTGACCTTTAATGTTATAACACATTTAAATTTGCGTTGTTATTATTGTTTTACGTATTAAAATTTTAAAGCTATTGGTCAATCGTATAATAAAAATAAAGTTTGCATAAAAAGTATGGTTGACCCCAGGAGACCCCAGGAATTGAGGGTTGAGGTTTAGATCCTGTCTTTCAGGATCCAAATCATCATTGGATCAGGATCCAATGACAATTTCAATTGTAATTCTATGTCCAGTGCCATCAGCATTATTTAACTGCCTCCAAGTACTCCACTTCTGAGAATCTGTTTCTAAATGCACATACAGTACTGTACTTGGTTCCTCCTTCATTACTGTAAAGCACCTGTCTCTTGGGTGATCCATTCCATAGTAAAAAGTTAGCTACAGACCTATGCTAGTGTCCATAACCTGTTTATATTTGATACTTTTTATAATTTTATTTTTTTTCAATCACTAGTTTTTATGGTTTCTGGAGATCAAATTGTATGTATGTTGCCCATTACTTGCCCAAGATTTCTTGTTTTTGCTGCTGCCGTATTGCCATCAGGCAACTTCCTCTGAAGATAAATCAATTCTCCCTGTGAGGCAGTCTGTATGAGAGCAGTGGCACCTGGTTGTAGTGAAGCCTCGTGACCATGAACGTCATCATGTTGGTTCACTGCAGCATTGGTAAGTTCTTCCAACTTTGAGATGTTTTGTATATAATGGCTACTGTTTGTAGAATAAGAGTACCTAATTATTAAGTTCCAGTGCTTGGCCTTACAATGTTTGGCCTTTGAACTGAAATTCGATCATACCAACTCGCTATTAGACGATGTCATTTGTAAAAAGACTTATATTTTCATCATGTTAATTAACTGAATTAACATAAATTTCTAGTAGTGATTTCCCAGCTTGGATCATTCTTTTGATAATTACTTTCTCAACCCTTAAGCTGCTACAGCCTTAATAGCCATTAATACCCATGTGCGCAAGAAATAAATAAAATTCAATTTTTTTTTTGTCATATAAAAGTGTTCATTTGAGTTCCCTGACCATGGGGGGTGGGGGAATCGTAGGTGACATTTTGGCCGCAATAGGTCGAGGAAGTCTGGCAAAATTGAGATGTTGACAGTAATCGTCGGAGGCGGTCAGCTCCGCCCGAGTTGTCAGCCGGGAGTTGCCACAGAGATATTATTACCTAATTATTTCATTGTCTCTGATTTATTTTTTCTTAGTTTTTTGCAGTAATATTATTCAATGGTGTGTAGTGTGATATATTTATATAATAAAATGTGTGAACCATTACTGTGTGTATACTCAAAAGTATGGTGTGCATATTAGTGATTCAGTTATTATGTTCATAAATTAATAAACAAATAGTTTTGCTGTTATTACACTATATACACAGGTTATATATATAAGTATCTGCAAGTTTTGTTCACCATAATGAACCACTAAGTTGGTATGGTGAGTCAAAACAACGAGGAGTGGCCACCTCACACCAGCCAGCAAACACCGCAACCTTCCCTCCCTCATCAACACCTCACATGTCAACATTTCTGTGGGAAGCCCCATCAGCTCCCCAGAGCTAACCAGACTGATATGTAACTATTAGCTTTCTGGCATCAAAGTGCATTGAGTTCTTGCCTACTGGGGACCACAAGCCAGAACCTGGCCCCCCCCCCCCCTCCTCAGAGAGGCACGAGGAGTAATGGCCTATAGAAACCCCTGTGTGGTTGGAAGCATTTTATGTCTGCCATCGACTGGGTCTGGCACCCAGAAAGATAGGCGCCTCAAAACAAACCCCTATTCTGGTGAAAGTATTGTTACTGAAAGGCAAACGAGTGGACAGAACTCCCCAGGTGAAAACTAGCAAACTAGCATGACGTCGTCATCATGTCGCTGCACTGCCGTCTTCACGCAACCCGTTCTCGCAAATTCGTAAAGTCAATATTGACTTATTAACTACGTGCATAGGTGATATACTAAACATAATAGATACCCTTAAAAAGATTCATAGAAAACACCGACCTTACCTAACCTTGTTAGTATCTTAAGATAAGCATCTTATTGCTTCGTAATTACAATTATTACCTAACCTATACCTATTATAGGTTAGGTAATAATTGTAATTACGAAGCAATAAGAAGCTAAGAAGCTTATCTTAAGATACTAACAAGGTTAGGTAAGGTCGGTGTTTTCTATGAATCTTTTTAAGGGTATCTATTATGTTAAGTATGTCACCTATGCACATATTTAATAAGTCAATATTGACTTATTAAATTTGCGAGAACGGGTTGCTTCACAACCCCCCTGTCCGGAAGGGGGGGGAGCCCCAGACCCCCGCGCCTGTGATCAAACCGGCAGTTCTTGGCTGATGTGATACTGGCTGGTCGGGTGCCTCTGGCTCCAGTTTTGTTTTCAGTTAATGTACCTTGTGGCGTGATCTCTCTCTACAGGTGGTGTGAGAGCCAGGTGTAATAATCTATGGTACTCGAGCTGCATGCACTTAGGGTTTCCTTCCCTAGGTGCCCAGTAAGTACTGCCCTTGGGGCTTAGGGCCACCTTCCATAAGTCACCTTGGTGTCTACCTCCGCTGTGTCTTTTACTGCTTGGTACTTGGCCGCCCTTTTAGTCAGCTGGGGTTTTGTTGCCCTCGTTTGTTTGTTTGTTCTTGTGGCTCCTCTGGGTAGGAGGTAGTTTTCTACCCCGAACTAGCCAGGATATCACTGGTAGGGGTGCAGGATACTGCACAGCTAGTTATCACTACTATAGCTGCCGGCTCTGTTCCGCCTGGGTACGTTGTCCTCTAGTGGGGTTTTTCTTTTGTTTTTCTGCCAGGTTGGGGAGTCTTGGTTGCCCCCTATTTATTTTAGGATCCTTCTCTTATATACCAGTATATAGGTGTTTTGGTGGTGCCCCCCTCCCCCCTCCTTGGTCCTCGTGAGTGGACACGTCCTGGGGATCTAGCTTTAGAAGTTTGCCTGGTAGTTTTGGGCTAGTTTTCATTTGGGGGAGTTCTGTCCACTCATTCAGCTTTCAGTAGCAATATTTTCACCAGAATAGGGGTTTGTTTTGGGGTGCCCATCTTTCTGGGTGCCAGACCCAGTTGATGGCAGACATAGAATGCTTCCAACCACATGGGGTTTCTATAGGCCATTGCTCCTCATGCCTCTCTGAGTTGGGGCCAGGCTCTGTCTCATGGTCCCTGATGGGTAAGAACTCCATGCACTTTGACTGATGCCAGAAAGCTAATAGTTACATATCAGCCTGGATAGCTCCGGGGATCCTTCAGATCTCGCCCAGAAAATGGCGTTTCATTACATTCAATGCTGGTTTCCTCCTCCCACCATACTGTTTTTGCTTTTATTCACTAGATACAGGCATTATATATAAGTATCTACATATTTTGTTCACCATAACTGTACAGCTAAGCTGATATGATGAGTTCAGACAATAACAGAAGTCGCCACACAGTCAGGATCCCTCCCTTCCTCCCTCCTTCACAAAAATGGCTCTTCCCAACATACTCCTTTTGCTGTTATCACACTATATACAGTGGAACCTCGGTTTTCGTATTTTTTGGTTCTCGTACTCAATTTCTTTGAAAAATTTGATTCGGTACTCAATGTTTGCCTCGGTTTTCGAAGTTTGTTTATACACGTACAGATCCACCGAGTGCGTGGCACTTCAGTTTACCAGTGTCTCCCGCCTAGTGATGATCACGTTTGAATTCTTTATGAAGAATTTCATGGGAAAAACAAGAGATCATTCATAGTGAGATAATGTGATGTCTCACTACAAACAAGTCTTAAAATGTACAGAAAAACTAGTGTCTATAGACAGATTCTTAGTAAGACAAGCAAGCAGTGAACCACGACCAGGTCCTAGTGGTATGCCTGCAAAACAAGAGAGAGTACCCCAGAAATGTCATCACTGCTTTTATAATGGAAGGGGACTTCCCTTCCAAACACTAACTCCTCTCCTCCTCCCCTTTCCTCACTGTCTTCCATACGCCAACAAGTAGTAGTAGTAGTAATAGTAGTAGGCATCCTTCAGTCTCGGAAGACTATGGAGTTCATGGCGCAAAGCCTGGGTAGGTAGATATGGAGAAGAAGCCGTCCCCCCTCTCCACGTTGCTGAAATTATCCAATAGAAAGGCAAATGCCAATACACATGGTTCCAGCAACGCCAACAAGAGTCCTCAATAAAGGTAAGGTACCTAAGAGGTTTATATTCTGTATAAAATGTATTTTTTAGTTAATATATTTGGGGGTGTGGACCAGATTAATTCAGTTTACATTATTTCTTATGGTAAAATTTGTTTTGGTTTTCGTACTTCCTTTTGGAACGGATTAAATACGAAAACTGAGGTACCACTATATATACACATTATATATAAGTACTGTATCTACATTTGTATTCACGAATACATATATATAATATATATATACATACATATACATACATACATACATACATACATACATACATACATACATACATAAAGGACTCTGTAGGACCCCTAAAATATGAGACTAACCAAGTTATATTGGATGATAAAAGAGCAGCAAACACTCTGAATGAATACTTTACATCAATGTTCACACTAGAAAGATTGAACGACATCCCATCACTCACACAAATGTTTGAAGGAGGTGAAGAGAATGAATTAAAGGATATACCCATTACATGCGACACAATTAGGAAAAGTATCGACAAACTAAAAGAGTCAAAAGCCCCAGGTGTGGATGGATTTCAATCCAAAGTCTTAAAGGAACTGGCAAATACATTATGCACCACTGAAACTCTTTTTTTTAGAAAATCCCTGAACAAAGGGATAGTTTCCCTGGATTGGAAATATGCAAATGTTACCGCTATTTAAAAAAAAAAAGGCAGAAAGAGCTCGTCAGAAAAGTACCGTCCAGTCAGCTTGACATCGCACATCTGCAAGCTCATGGAGAGAATCCTAAGGGAGGGAATCATACAACATCTCACAGAGAACAATCTTATAGAATCAATGCAACATGGGTTTGTTAAAAATAGATCCTGCCTCACTAACCTGCTCACATTTCTGGAAATAATAACCGGCTATTCAGACAAAAGACTTCCAGTATATGTAGCTTACATGAACTTTGCTAAAGCTTTTGACAAGGTACCACAAGACTGGCAAGGAAATTACAGGCACATGGAATAAATGGGAGAATACATACTGGAATGAATAAAACAGTGGTTAAAACATAGAAAGCAAAGGGTCGTGCTAAATGGGAATGAATCTGGAGAAATGTGCTAAATAGGGTGCCACAGGGGGGGTCCATTTTGGGGCCAACCCTTTTTGTCATATACAGTACATCAATGACATAGATGAGAATATTTCAAACCACATCTTCAAATTTGTAGATGACACTAAGATTTATAGTAAAGTATGAAGTGAAAGTGGTGTTGAGATCTTACAGAGAACTCAATGAACTCCACAAATGAACTCCTACATGAACTCCACAAATGGTCAGATGACTGGCAAATGCTTTTGAATGTCGATAAATGCAAGACCTTGCATGTGGGGCATAACAATCCATGTCACAATTACCAAACTGACAGCACTACCTTACAACAGATAGATGAAGAAAAGGACCTTGGAATTAGAATCCAACATTCATTAAAAGTTGCACAACAAGTGGGAGTGGCAGTGAAAAAAAGCGAACCAAACCCTGGGAATAATCAAGCGTACTTTTACCTTCAAGGAAAAAAAGTGGTCGTTCAATTTTATAAGTCTCTGCTGCGCCCCCACCTGGATTATTGCATCCAGGCATGGAGACCTCATCTTCAGAAAGACATAGCTGCTCTGGAGAGGGTAACTGGGTAACAAAAATCATACCAGATCTTGGTCATCTCTCGTATCAGGAACGGTTGGGGGTTACAGGGCTAACACCACTGCAGACCAGACAGGGTAGATCTCATAGAAACTTTCAAAATACAGTACTAAACAATTTGGACGATGTTGATCCGGACACTTTCTTCAAAAGGTCAGAAATACACAAACAAGGAGCAACGGGTTCATGCTTGACAAGCCACAATGTAGGACATAAAACAGGAGATTCTTTTTCATCCATAGGATTGTAAACCTGTGGAATCGCCTTCCCGCCAAAGCCATGAACGCCAAAACTCTGCTGGGTTTTAAAATACTGTACAGCTAGAAAAGATCATTAGGGCAAATGGAGGGACCTTTGACAAGCCGCCAGCTTCCTGTCTTCATCGAGGCCACTAGTATTAGTGGCCCTTGGGTATTTTCAGGTAAATATACATATACTGGTACATACACACATGCACACACACATACAGTGTGGTGTATGTGTGAACACTGCTTCTCGTCGGATCAGCGAAGTTAAGCAACGTTGGGTTTGGTTAGTACTTGGGTGGGCAACCACCTAGAACACCAAATGCTGTTCGCATTAATTTATTTTTGAGCCCAATGGGCTCGGGAACCTGTACACCAGTTGATTGACAGTTGAGAGGCAGGACCAAAGAGCCTAAACTCAATCTCCGCAAGCACAACTAGGTGAACACACATATACACATACATTTATGTCTCCTACTTTGACAGAGTAAGATAGCTGCTATAGAAACTAGTGAGTTATTAAGCACTTAACCACTGAGGGTGATTAAGATGCTTTTACAAGCTCAGATTATAGTTACATCGCAAACATTGTATAACTGATGCATTACATAGTCAATCTTGGGTACAAGTCCAATACAGTATATCAAGTGTTCCAGTATTCATATAGTAGTTATAGAGTTCAGCATACCTCAGCCCAGGAGGGCGAATGTCAGTCAGTATGGTACATTCTACAATATAATGTTCAAGGGAATGCATGTTTTCTCTTTCACAGAGTTGACACATGGTGTATTCGACATTTGTGTTTTGAAGCTGCCAGATACAGGGATACCTCTGTTTAAGTTTAATCCATTCCTGGAGACAGCTTGTAACCCGAAAACTCGTAAACCGAAGCTAATTTCCCCATAAGAAATAATGGGAAATGAATTACTTCATTCCTGTCTACCCGAAAACTTTACTTCAAACTAAATTTTATACCTATTTCATCCAAATCTACTCTACAAAAGTATGTTCAAGTTATTACTTACCCTTGCTGATGACTCCTGTTGGCATATAGAAGATGGTGAGGAGAGGGGAGGAGGAGAGGTGTTACTGTTTGGAAGGGGAGTCCCCTTCCATTATAACATCAGGCAGTAAAGATTTTTCTGGAGTGCACTCTGGCACGTTTTGCCTGCATACCACTAGGTCCTGGTTGTGGCTCACTGCTTGATTTTCTCACAATGAAACGATCCATTAAAGATTGTTTTTCTCTTCTTTGCAACACTTGTCTGTAGTAAGACATCACATTGTCATTTAAAAGGTCAATGCATCGGCCTGCTATAGCTTTATCTGGGCGAGTTTTTTCAACAAATCTTTGCAGTTCTTCCCATACTTCACACATTTTCTTAATGAGGAAGGGACATCCTCTACTGCCTCTACTCACAACTATTTTCTTAGGTTGAACCTTACCACTGGCTTTCTTGGGACCCATGGCGAGATATATAATAACAACTTTTATGCTCAAATGGTAAAAAATCCAACAAAAAACTGTAAATCCTTGTGAAGAATTCAGGCGGGATAGTCACTGAGCACAAGGCACTGGTAAACTGAGGCATGATCGCCGTGCCACCACACGCTAGGTTAGCCCGTACGCGTATCAACAAACTCGTTACCCAATGCAATGCTCGTATCTCATTGCAAATTCTCCGAACAGATCGGCTCGTAACCGAAAAACTCGTAAACAGGGACGCTCATAACCCGGGGTTCCACTGTACATCTATATCCCAGGCGTATTCTGGCAACTATAACATCACATTGCCAAGTTCTTGCTCTATTAGTTCCATATATGAATGTCTTCTCACGATATTTATCAAAATGTTTAATGCTACAACTTTCAGGTCTTTGTGAATTTGTTAGGTCAGTAAGATTTTCATTAGATATTTGTTTAAGTATTCTCTGTCACTGCTAATGAAACACCCATATCAATGTCTACTACTGGTCTGCAGTAGTCTGCTACAGGCAGACTACTGCTACAGGCAGACTACTGGTCTACTACAGGCAGTCTTTGCAAGCATATCAACAGTGTCATGCTTTGAGATGCCAATGTGTGATGGTATCTAAAGGAATTTAATTTCAAATCTCTTTTTCTTTAGCAGCTAAAACATTCATTTGAATATCACTATTTTCTGGTTGATACTACTATGCGCATTCAATGCAAGGAGTGCACTCTGCAAGTTACAGTATGCAAGTCCACTGCCTCTGTCTTTTAAAAATTCAGTAGCAAGGTATATGCCTGCAAGTTCGGTTTGAGTTGTACATGGGGTGGTAGTCAAAGTAGCCCATGAACTTAACTATTCTGCTGTAGGGTTGATATGAATAAAAAAAAGTATTGATGGCCTATACAGCTATTAAGTAAACTGCTTTTTGTATGCAGAAAGTGGCCACGTCACTGTAATTATCCTGAGGAGGAGGAAGTGACCCATCGTGCATCACAGCTGGAGGTGGTGGAGAGGATGAAACAAGTCGACGACAGAAAATGTTTGTACGCAGGTTGCCTTATTTAAGTGTAGATAAAAGTTCAACAAAATTATATGCAGACTGTTGAAGCATGTGGAATCATAACAAAATATGTACAACAGTTTTGAAATTAATGCAAAAAATTACATTTGTAATTGATACTATATTGCACCCCAGCCAGTATACCAGTTTTGTAGATTGGCATTTTTCTCCATAGGCATTTACTCTAGAAGTAAATGCCTATGGAGAGTAGGTAGAAAATATTTAGATGCTTGTCCAATTAAAATTACTTGAAAGTGATTAAAAAAAAAAAAAGTGCAAGGTGACCATATTTGGGTATCTACGATTCAGGTCGGCAAATGATGATGTGTCCATCCCTTCCCCAGCAGAAGCTAATGTTGGTTTCATGATTCTTCCCAACCACCAACAGTTGATAATGTCTGTTAAAAAATGCTGCACATTTTTTGCCACAAAAAAAAAATAAAAGAAAAGCTTATGATTTTATCATAGCAATTTTTGTACTTTTATATTGTATTTTTGTTATACTTTTCCAATGAAGACTTAGCATTAGTAAAAAACTTGTTTCTGAGGTGCTTCAGTCAGCGGTTCCCTCCTATAAGATCCCAATTCCTTAATTGTGTGGTCAGGAGGTGCAACATGCAACAAAGGGTCTACTAGGGATTCTGGAGCTTCCCTGCAGGGTCATGTTGTGCAGTGGGGATTATTGGAAAATACTTAGACTGCTCTGAAAACTGCTGTAGGAAGATCTTTTCACCAGCTAATTCAAAGTTTTATTAAGCTCTCATTTATGATCCCAACTGAGCTCAAAATGAGAGCATACTACCATGACTGGAATGTCTGGTCCAACCCACCACTGATCATAAGTAATTAGCACCTCACTTTAGGGTTCACTGAACTGAGCCAGTTCTTGTGCTGTTCAAAAAGGAGCTTTACACAAAAGCAATCTTACATCAGAGTTCTCATATTTGGCAACACCCTCATATAAAAAGTTTGAAATTGATAAGAGAAATATATGAAACTGGATTGACGTACACATGTTCTGAAGGATGATGACCAAGAATGTATTGATTGGATGATATTTTTCAGCCGAGATACATCATGAAATGCAGAAATCAGCTTACGTGTCAACCCAAAAGGCGTCATTGGAAGGATAGTCTAACAAGGGTAACATGTTGATGAACTGCATGGAAAAATTTAAGACTAGCTCAAATTATCTTGTAGAAAATAGCAGAGAACACTGTAAAGGCATCCTGATTGAGAGATAATCTCAACTATTCTAGCTGGAGTGCACAATGTCCACCACAAATGCATCTTTGTTCTGGATTAGAGTTGTGGTGCCAAGTGACTGCAAAGTGTTCCACCTGAGATCCTGGTGGGGTAAGGTGATAATGATACATGCTCATCGTAGCTTGTATAAGAAGCCACACACTCCAGTGGGGCCTTTGAGAATGGTGGCTGTTGAGGCAACTCAGATCAGTCCTAGTCAAGTTAACATCTGTGAGGGCTTGAGCTAGGAATTCAGCCAATTCACAAAGTAGGACATCTGTAACACTGCTAATGTCTGATCTCTGGCTAGCTTGCACTGTCAGGTCCTGGGAATCCAAATGAGCAAGTGGTTGAGATAATTCAAAATTGGATGTACTGAAACTCGCAGAGCACCAGCCTGGTAAATCTGAAGGTGCTGGGTGTGAGATTCATTCTGAAAAGAAGACTTCCTGAAATTGACACTCGTTTTCATAACACAAAACACCGCTAAGTCCTTGAACTTGTGATGTACAGAAACAGGCTAATAAGCATCCTGAAGGTCAAGGAAAATCATGTACTTTGTCTTTGGTCTGAATGTCTTCTCAGTGTGGTCATCCAGCAAGTCAGATAAGGAGTTGTTTTTTACCACTGGGAAGAGGAAAATTGGAGACCTCTCATCAACATATGGAGATATGATTACAGGGTAGATGGATGCTCTTAGCCAAAATACCCTGGTTGGATGAGGGCACTTTACCCAAGTTAAACTCCTGGATAATCCAAGCCCAGGAATCCCTGACCTAAGTGTGTTATAGTGTGGAAGGGATTGTGATTCAGGCATTGTCAGTGGGGCTTCCCATGCAAGGCTATGGTTACCTAGAAACCATATGGTCTCATATACCTTATGGTCTCATGGTTACCTAGAAACACCGGACATTTGCACAAAACAAGCCCCTGCAAGAAAACAAGCAAACATGCTACACAATAAACAAGTTTGAAGAATGTATACAAGGTGATTTAACTTTTTGAAATCCAAGGCAATCAACAATATACTTGGATAAGTTGGTGAACCTATAGGGTGAGTCAGATGCTGCTTCCTGGTGGCACGAGGTGGGTTAGACAAAGCAACCAGCTGTTATAACACCTGTTTAGTGACTATATAATGGCAAGAAAACTTGAAAGGGATTAGATATTTTGAAGAAAGACATTCCGAGGCTTGAGTACTCTGTCAACTCCAGTAGTAGTTCAATATAACCCTGACAAAGTATGCCTGAAGATTCCATTTGGCATTGTGCTGTATGTTGCACCTGGTTGACTTCACTGTCTGTGCTCAGTGACATGGTGGGAGATTAGTGAGGGAATATACCCAAATGTAAGAGCTTAGGAAAATTTTGATGGAACCAGACAATATTTCAGCAGCTTCATTAATATATATATATTTGTTTTTTTTTACTGAATTAAAATCTCGTGTCAAATTTATAAATATTTTATCCTGTTATTGCTATAAGTATTAAGTATAATAATGGAGAGTAGCAACTATAAGAGGAACTTGTTTTAGTATAAGGCAGTATAAACTACAGATGATGCTTAACCATGTGCTTAATTTCATTCACCTGGGCCCTAGGAGACTCGAATCTCCGACCCCACGCATGTGAGGCAAAAGCTCTATCAACTGAGCTATGAGTAGTCTGAACAAAGAAAGATTCCAGAAGCTGGAATTTACAACTTTCTCCGACTACTATTGAAGCCCAGAGGAATTGGTGATCCATGCCCACTTTATATAAATTGTCATGGAAAGTCGAAAATTCCAGCTTGGCAGCAGTAGTTGCTGCTGGAATCATTCCTTATTAGGACTACTCAGCCCAGTCGATAGAGCTTCTGCTTCACACGCGTGGGGTCAGCGATTCTAGTCTCCTAGAGCCCAGATGAATGAAATGTTTATTTCCACAGAAGTATGGATGACAATTTAATGTGCTTAATCTTGTGCCAGCAGCCTGATGGTCAAAATCTTTTGTAGTATTGTTGGCTCAATGTAAATAATTTTGAAATATGTTGCAACAAAAATCTACTTTATAAATGACTTAAGAGATGAAAATTATCATTTTGTTTTTTTACCAAAAATATATTGACTATTCTTGAATTCACAACAGAATGTAATATTATGTAATAATTATGTAATATTAATATTATTCAATATTGAGTTTTAATATTATGTAATATTATTAAATTCAACTAATACATCTCATTTTTGTCATGGATTCGACCAGTCTGTTTTAAAATGTGATGTATTAGTACAAATCAAACCATCCTAATACTGTATTGGCATTTCTGGGCATTGGCCTCAATAGGTTAGGTGGGTTGCTTGGGTTTGTATGCTTCTGGTTAGGTAAAGCAGATGCATATATTCGTTTTGTAGTGGCAACTTGAGAGAATAGGCTGGTATTTCATTAATGCATGGGTACTTTGGTTATTGGGTATTAATGATAACTCTGGAATACATTTACAGTATCTTCAGTGCTGGGTTCTCAACATTACAAGATTGTAAAAGTGTTCTGGAGACATACCCAATACATCTATTCACTATCTGCAATTAGTCTGGAAATAAGAGTGGATCAGGGTCACAACTTGTGCTCATTTTGAAATGTTTTCCCGTTTCACCTCTCTGTACCCTGAAGCATTTAAGTTAGTGAATTTGTTAACAGTTTTTCATAATTTTGTATGTACGTACAGTACTTAGCTGTTAGGGGTGACAGACCTTTTCGAGACAAATGATAATAGCTTTTATATAAATTCTGAAATTAATCTATATACAGTATAAAAATTAAATATTGCCTTTAAAGGTTTTGTAATCATTGTACTTAGGCCTTTTGAGTCCTATTTATTGTGATGGGTACAGTATCAAAATACCCATCCATCCTCCATAAACTATTGTACCTGTAGCTACTAAGGATGGAATATATAATATAAGAAACTGTGGTACTTCCCCCCCCCCCCCCCCCACACAAAAAAAAATCAGTTTATACTATTTCAACTCAAAAAGGTCATAAAAACCATAATCATGATTTTAATCCGACTTGTCCTAGGCCAAGATAAGCCATTTTAGGCCTAACATGCAATCTCGTTCTTACTTTAGTACACGTACTATACTTTACCCAGGAAAAGGTAGGATCAGTTGTTGCCTTCTTTCTTGGGTCATGTGCAAAATTGATGGTACAAAACATGGACTTGGGTGCAACAATCCATGTTTTGAAAATTCCAACCATAATAGCTGTCATTTATGGAGGACCGGCTACAAAATTCTGACAACTTGTGTATTGGTCACTCATTTTGTGAATGTTGTCAGTCCAAATAGAATATTTCATGATACCTGGTACTGATAGTGATTTATGCAAACATACTATTAACTAATGCTGTTGACTTTTGGAGCATTTCAAATTTTCAGCAATTTGTGATAGGTGACTAGGACTCAAAAATAAGTGTCATTATGCTGCTACTATTACTGAAGGCTAACATCCATTTGCACAGAAAATTATATATTGTTTCCTTTTAAAAGCAAATTTCATCTAAAATATATGGATCTTTCAATAAAACTGGCAAACTGCTAGATGTTACTACTGCTCAGCATAGACTTGACTATAAGTATCTCTGGGAATTTGCATTACTGTAATTGCTGATGTAGACCTAATCAAATGTAAACTGTCAGTATAATTATTCACATTTGAAAAGATATATGAATTTAGAGATAGCTTTATAACAAATGCTCAAGATGTGTAAATATTTAATTCAAATTATCTACTACCAAAATTTCCCGGTTTGGTGCCTTCTTTTGGTAATTACTTGCTACCAAAATTTTTAGCCAAATATTCCCAATTTGCTAACTGTGGGTAATAAAAGCAGGTGATTGTAACTTTTCCACCATCACCCACTGGATGGTGGAAAGGGAATAATGGTGTATAGGGCCAGATCTAACTGCTTTTGGGCCTTATGCCAAAACTGCTAAATAGGCCCCACCCTCTGGTCTGAGGGTGGGGCTCATTTCATTCTCTAAGTTTTGGAGCAATGCCAGTGCTGCTTTGCTTTTAACTTTTAATTTATGTTCTTGAGACTGACTCAAATAGGTTTTGGATGACATTGATATCTGCAATTGCCCAAGAAACAAAACAAACAAACAAAAATTACCCCAAATTATAAGACTGTACCCCACATTTTAACTGATATTACTCCAAAACTACCTCTGATTAACTAGAGAACTTGTCATTATATCATTTAACTACTTATAGGTATATTTGTGTTCTCATGATCTATGTGATGCCATGGTTATTCTACCAGTAAGCCCATGGCATATTAGGGCCCATGACATATTAGGACTATTGGGTAATCTGGCCCTGCTGGTGTACATAAGCAAATCAAATTATGATTACTAGCTTGCCATATATATGTAAGTTACTTAGCTTGGATACTGTACTTGTGATAATTCTTTAACCCATTGTTGATATAATAATTAAACTGCTTAACTAGTTTATCAAAATTTGCTTAGCTAAATGAATTTTTGGGGGTTAAATTTCTGTTCCCATTATGTGGCTCTGTGACCTTTCCACTCCTGCCCAAATAATGGATATGGGGTCCACTACTGCCCACAAGATGGATATGGGGTACATAATAAATTAATTATTGTACTGTAAATGGTACATTTACAAAACCTGACTTCGGAAACAATTTTGCCACCTCTACATGCATTACAGCAGTGTGTGCGCATGCCTGGGCATTATTATACAGGGATTATTATGTGCTGCAATTTATTCTACAGTATTAGAAATCAATATGTAATATTTTACTCATAAAGAAATTACAATGTGATTATCCATGAGAAAATCAGTTGGAGCCATAAAGAGGATTGGAACCTGCACCCTGGATACTCTGAAGCACACCTTAATGCATTGGATGACAATATGCTACAAAAATAATGTAACTTGGGATTCACCTGAATCCTTTAGGGTGCAGGTTGTGTGAAATCTTGATTTGGTGCCAGGTGGATACCTCAGGACCCCCTAGAGGATTCAGTTGGATCACATGTTACATTACTTATGAAGCATATTGTGGGTCATTGCAGCCCAAGCTTGGGCACGTGCACGAGCTCGGGTTCCAGACATATCACCACAGCCCCCTTTCATCCGAGGCCGGCATCCTTCAAGACCAAACAGAAGGAAGAGTTAGTTAATTAGTTATATTGTTAATTAGAATTGTTAATTAGTTATATTATTATAATAATAATTATAATAATAATTGTTGCACAGTAATTACTAATTATTACTCTTCCTTCTGTTTGGTCTTAAAGGATGCCAGCCTCGGGTGAAAGGGGGCTGTGGCGATCTGTCTGGAACCCGTAGGTGCGGGGCTCGGAAGTTCACCTCCTGGGGCTCATGCAGCTCAAGCTCTGCTTTGGGAGGCTGGGGTGGTTCTTTTCTGGCCCTGACCACGGCGGTCTCCGGGTTTGGAATACCTGAACCTTCTTTTACCAACTTCAAGGTTAACTCCAGAACTGGAGCCCCTAGGGCAGTTCGTTGTTGCCGTCAACCTCGTTCTGACAGCTCCTGTGACGGCACTGGAACCAATCGTATTGACGTTTGCCTTTTGGAGACTTTCAGCGCCATGGAGAGGGAGGACCTGCTGTTTGGGTGACAGCTTCTCCATATTAACTTACCCTGACTTTGCGCCTTGGAGAGGCCACTCCAGTCCGATGGCCAGAGCACAACTCCATAGTCTCCTATGACTGATGGATGCCTACATATATATATGTGGGTCATGTGCATAGGAATACCCAGCGTGTAGACTCGAATCCTCCTCATGGCTCCAACTGATTTTCTCAATATTTGATTATTATATTTACAAAAATATAACTGATATACAGTAGTTCTTTTTTATATTTGATGGTTATATTCAGGAAAGAAAAGTTATCCATTGGCAGCAATAGTAACACTTGACTGCTATATACTGCCCACCATGTAGTATACCATAATAAATGTTACGGAAGTGGTAAAGTCCTTGCTACTTATAAAAGAACATGCAGAATTGTGTCCCTTCAATATTAATTCCCTACTAGTTATAATCCTGAGAACCTAGTTGTTCAGGAAATTAAAGTGTTCTAGCAAGCTTAGTTTCCATGAACAATTTTTTGCGTATTTTATCTTATATCAAGTTTTGAATCATTTGACTTAATATGCAAGCCAAAAATAAGCTGCTTTGATACAGTGAGCATAGTGAAAAATGTTGGTAATATAATCAGTAAAAGAATTAGATATGAAAATCTAAATTAAAAAGTACTGTAATGTGGAAAGAGAGATCATATAAAAATAAATTTAGTTAGTCCTTTGATACCCTAAAGTATACAGTATATACAGACATTATAGACATTATAGGTATAATTTGTAGTATAAATTTCCACTTGATCTTCATACTATGTTGAGTGCTGGTCTAGTGTGTGTGTGTGTGTGTGTGTGTGTGTGTGTGTGTGTGTGTGTGTGTGTGTGTGTGTGTGTGTGTGTGTGTGTGTGTGTGTGTGTGTGTGTGTGTGTGACCTGTACACACAGTAGGTTGTAAAATATTTCAATATTGTATTTGCAAAATGTACAAGAGGTTGCATTCATGACTCGAGATATTTTATAAAGTTGTATCATTTATTAGTGCTGTATGTTTAGCAACGTCAGACATTTATTGTACTGTATTTAGATTCATATGTATCTCCAATCACTTATCATTCTTGATTTAATTCCCAATTGATTTATAGTACTATTACTGACTTGATGTGATTATTATTTGTTCATATTCACCTGTAATATATTTATTTTTGCAGTCAAGTAAATACAGTACATTGATGTTTGTGGCTTCTGGTTACACTGAGTTTATTGCACATTTGTTTGTTTTTTGGTTGGTAGCTTGTAGATTTTTTAAATTACTACATCATTACTTCCATGAAATGGAGAAATGCAACTTGATGTAGCGATACATTGCTATGAGAACAGATAATTGAGGTGTCTATCTTGGGTATAAAACAAACTATGACAGGCAGAGTGCTACATTGATTAGGTTACTAAAGGCTTCATGTACAGTGGGGTGTAGACACGGCTCGACCAGTAGGTGATAATGACAAGGAAATTAATCCTAAACTCCCTCAAAATTTATTATGGTGGTAACAGAACTGAGAGCTAATAAGGCCTACCTGCTTGTTATCCTTGTAACAAAGATCACTATTGGGTATTCCCACAAATGTATATATTTTGTGTGTAGCTTGTGATGGGGTTCATTCAGTATGTCATGTCATTATTTCACACAGTTTCCCACTGTTGAGGACAGGAAGCCTATTACGAGGAAGTCCTGGATAAGTCTAAACCAATGGCTGATCTTTCCTTGGATGTGACCCCCACAACAGTTGCCTAACCCCTAGGTACCTATTTATTGCTAGGTAAAAAGAATAATTGGGTGTAAAGAAACTTCCCCGAATATGTATGGATCGCATAGTGTAAATGACTGTTTTATTAGGCTTGAATTAGCTTCAGTTACAATTGTGTGAACCAGTTGTGTGTAAGAGAAATGGGACTACTGACATGATATACTTTGGCATTATTAGTTGGCTTTATACTGATAAGATATAAATATATATTGATGCTCAATTAACTTCATTTGTTTTATTCTTCATTTAAAATGTTATGTTTACTTGTGTACATTAGGAAACATTTTGTAGACCTGCTTTTGACTGTTTATGAAACATTTTATAGATCTGTTCTTGACCCTTGATGAAAGTCAACTTGCATATAAGGATCATGCAGAACTCTGAGGGTTGATATTTGAAGCCCTCCAATCTTGAGCATCATACAGTATGTCCATTACCTGTAAATAGAACGAGTGCTCTGCCCTAATTCTATTTGAGGGCAGAGCACTCATCCACGCCCACCGCCCGTTAAGGGACGGTGGGCACACAACCTAGCTCGCTGCAACACAAAACCTGTAATGCAAAGCGACTGCAACTTTGTGACCGTGATCAGCAGACATCAGTCAAAAACTGACCAGTGAGGACCCAGCTGATGTGGGCCGGCTTCCTCCCCCACCTCAGGTGAAGGGATAGGTAGAGCTAATTAGTAGGGGAAGGGGCTAGTTTCACAAAGCTTTTGGTTGCCATTACCATTCTCCTCCATGTCACCTACCATGGCTTTGTGTCCTGGAGAGGCCACTCCAGACCGACAACCAGAGCGCAGCTCCATAGTCTCCTGAGACTGATGGATGCCTACTATTCCAGTGTAACTTTGTGTCCAATTTAGGGTGATTGACAGCCCTAGATTGTGTGCTTCTTTTCCTATATGTAGGATTTCTGTGATGAGTTTTATATTATCTCTGTGCTGGCTGGATAACAATGCCTGGAGCGAAGATTTAGAGTCGGTATGAATGATGACATGTAAATTATTCTCAATTGTATAATCTATGGCCTCCTTCAGGACATATAAATTCTGTTTGCAATGTTGAGCGCCCATTATTCATGCTCCGGTAAACTTCATGGTTGTTAGTGTAAACTGCTGCCCCAGCAGAACCTCTTTCTTGATCAACTGATCCATCTGTGAAGATGTGAGTAGTTGTCGGTCTTGAGATGGTTTCCATTTGTTCTATGACAGCCTCTGCGAGTCACATGCTGATTTTTTAACTTGTAATCCTTCAATGATTATCTTTAGACTCGATTCTTCCAATGGAGGAGGCTGCCGAAAGTGTTGATATTGTCTATCTTCTCCTTTGTTTTTAATGGTCCATTTCAAGTCCACTTTCTCTAGAATCTTGACCAGATTAACCGTCCATGCACTTGTTCAATATTGAAGGTTTCTGTGTATGCTATCTTTGATTGACAGTCTGGTGATGGTTCCAACAAGTTTTGCTGTTATGGTGTTTGATCCTGTTTTCTAAGGCTGGTAAGATGGTTTCCATTCTTAGATTCTCTCGACGCGTCCATATTGGTGCTCCCAGTATTGTTCTGAGGGTATCTTTTGTGACACTTCGAGTTTCTCCCATTGGTTATCACTGAGGGATATAAGAGCAGGAGCAGCATAGTCAATGAGTGACCTAACTGCTTGAACGTAGTACATTTTTGAGTACTGATAGTGGCATCATCGCTAAGACTTGTCAGGGAGCGCAAGGCTGAGTTTATAGCTTTGCAACGTTACCGAAGACATCCAATTTCTTGAGTGAATTTCAACTGGCTGTCTATTATATAAGGTACTGAAGTACCTTATATAATTTCAGTACCAAGGTACTGAAAAGAGGTAACCCACTATATTTCTTGTTGTGTTGTGAATCTTATGTCTTGAGTTCTCATTGTTCAACAATCATTGCTTTGGTGTTATTGCGGCTTTATGCAACAACAACAACAACAGGTGTTTCCCCTCGCACTATGATTTTCTGATCTCAAGAAGTGATGTGAGAGGTAAGCTGGACGGTGAAAGCAGTCCACCAACGGCAATCCTCAGGAACACAAGGCTTGTTACGATCGAAACAAGAAGGGCGAGGTCGTTTAAGGCAGTGGACTGTTTGTCGGTAGTCAGAGCTATTGGTGCTGGAACGACGTATCCTGGGGTGGCCAGGTTGTGTTCGGAGATGGAGTGAACGTCCGCCAGTCCACTAAGGCTTGGTTGTGGTTAATCCTTAAGAGGAAGTCGGCCAGTGTGTTGCTTGAGTGAGTGTTTAGCCCTTTTGGTAATACTGTGGAGGACTGGCCAGTGAATCTCTGGAAGAGAGGACTCGCCTGCGGGAGTACCTCAGAAGACGGGCACTCGGTGAAGAAGCCCTGTATGGTTGTGCTAGAGGGATCGTACAAGTTTTATAGGCGTCATGATTGAAAGTGACACATAGGGTGCTATCTGTGGTATTATACATTATTTGAGTACGTTTGGTGCCGCTTTGTCTAGTGTTTAACCCCCCCCCTCCCCTTTTGGTTGTCTATTGTTGCCAAGATTTGATAATTTTAAAGTCTCTATCACTTCACTCTGGCCTGTAGTTGATCCTGAAGAAAGGGGCACTAAGGCCCTGGAGAGAGAGAGAGAGAGAGAGAGGTAGAGTTACGAGGCCGTAACAGTAAGAATAAGAAAAGTGGGGGGGGGGTGTAGGAATAAGCAAAAGGGTCGGATCATGTTTGTTAAGAAGGTTAGAGCATTTAAATTTATACTGTGAAAGGTAAGAGTCAACAGCAATCAACCCAGGACTAAGGTTCATGTTGTGTATCTGCAGATTATCTTTTTTTTTTTTTTTTTTTTTTCCTTCTTGAGGTTATCTTGAGATGATTTCGGGGCTTTTTAGTGTCCCCGCGGCCCGGTCCTCGACCAGGCCTCCACCCCCAGGAAGCAGCCCGTGACAGCTGACTAACACCCAGGTACCTATTTTACTGCTAGGTAACAGGGGCATAGGGTGAAAGAAACTGCCCATTATTTCTCGCCGGCGCCTGGGATCGAACCCAGGACCACAGAATCACAAGTCCAGCGTGCTGTCTGCTCGGCCGACCGGCTCCCTTATTCTTACATTCATCCTATTACGTTTCTCTTACCTCTACCACTCTTCATCTTACTCTTACTCTATATTTGCCTGTACTGTACCTTGGTCAATATGGACGGCCGAGTTGCTCAAAAGATCAGTCGGCAGCCTGACCTAACTTTTTCTCCCTTCCTCTAGCTGGTGGAAGGAAGGGTTTGCTCAAAGTACTTTTTCTCATCCTCATATCGGACACAGACAAGGACACAAACTATAGTACTGTATCATCCTTTGCAGATGACACTAGGAGTTTTATGAGAGTAGACAACATAGAGGACACGGCGAACCTCCAGTCAGATGTATATCACGTCTTTCGATGGGCTACAGAAAATAATATGGTATTTAATAAAGATAAGTTCCAGCTCCTGCGCTTCGGAAAAAAATAAAAATATATAACGGAAACCACGTACAAAACGCAGTCAAATAATAACATAGAACGAAAAAGCAATATAAAGTATTTGGGTGTACTCATGTCGGAAAACCTTATCTTTAAAGAACACAATAAAGTAACCGTCACAACTGCAAGAAAAATAACAGGTTGGATAACAAGAACTTTCCAAACGAGAGATGCTATACCAATGATGATATTCTTCAAGACGCTAGTGCTCGCCGGAGTGGAATATACTGTGCACAATGACAGCACCTTTCAAAGCTGTAGAAATTGCTGACCTGGAGAGCGTGCAGAAATCCTTTACTACTAGAATTTACTCAGTAAAACATTTAAACATTTAAATGTTTTATTTAAAAACATTTAAATGTTTACTGGGACCAACTAAAATGCCTAAATCTGTATTCTCTTGAGAGCAGGCGGGAAAGATGCATAATAATTTACACGTGGAAAATAATAGAGGGGCTGGTCCCAAACCTGCACACAGAAATAACACCACAGGAGACCAGGAGACATGGCAGGATGTGCAGAACACTGCCGATGAAAAGCAGAGGTGCAACAGGTACTCAGAGGGAGAACTTTATCAACATCTTACTTGCACTTATGCACTTATTGCACTTATGCATTCTATGCACTTATTTAATAAGTCAATATTGACTTTACGAATTTGCGAGAACGGGTTGTCAGAGGCCCGAGACTGTTCAACACGCTTCCACTACACATAAGGGGTCGGCCAGTTGGCCGACCCCTCACAGTGTTCAAGAGCGAATTTGATAAACACCTCTAAAAGATACCTGATCAACCAGGCTGTGACTCATACGACAGGCTGCGAGCAGCCGCGTCCAACAGCCTGGTTGACCAGTCCAGCAACGAGGAGGCTTGGTTGAGGACCGGGCCGCGGGGACGCTGAGCCCAGAAATCATCGCAAGGTAACGGCAAAGTAAAGGGTTAAGGTTGAGAGTGGCGTCAGGTTACGCCGTCGTGACAGCTGAAGTCACTGACACACACAAAAGTGCTGTGTTTCCAGGTGTCATAAGATTTGTCTTCAGAAAAATAGGTAAGACTCGTCTCTTTTTTTCGACTTTCACTTTGTTTAGCATTGTAATGTTCACATGACACCTCGTCTCCTCTACCATGACCACAGAAGCTCCGAGCTTTTGACGTCCATCGACGATACTGGTTGCTGGACCGTGAATAAAGCCTCACTTTGTCCACATGACCAAAAATATCAAGCAAGTCAAGTCGTGAATGAATATTTGAAATTCAGTCAAACGGTTGAAGACTCTTCCTCTTAAAATATAGCATCCTATACCTTCGTGAGGTGTTGTAGGAGTCTCTGATGCTACGTGTTTGCCGTCACGAGACACAGTAACGTGTGGAACTCATTTTTGTCAACGATATAACGAGACGTGATGTGTAGCGAAGCCTCGCAAGTGCTCCGTCTGTGCACAGTTGACCCATTATTGTTGCAGTCGAGCTTTTATCTAGTCAAATTAGATATAAATCTTAAAACAGTCTCAACGATGTCAACGGCCTAAATAAGTGAGTGAGAGTGATGGAGGGTTAATGAGTGAGAGAATAGCGAATGAGTGTGACAAGTGAAAGAGTGAACAATGAGTCAGGAAGTGAATATTGAGTGAGGAAGAGTTAATAAGTGAGTGAGTAAAAGGGGAGTGGCTCTTGGATCAATACTATTCAGAGCTGCCATACACCCACACTCCTGCCATCAACACCACATGGTGTGTTTGTCTCTTGGGACACCTGTCATTGCTAGTACGAGGATTATGGGTGGGCGATATATGGGGTGGGAGATGGGTGGTGTACAGGGCGCCGCCCACTCCCACTCTTAATGTCACGCAGCAAGCTACGCATGCCCCACACACCTTCCAGTTGCCGGATCCGCCAGCATATACCACCATAACACTCTCTACAGCCCAAACCCCTTAGCTGGAGGCTGCCCTGGTGTGAGAGGAGTCCTTCCTGCAGCCTCCTGAGGGCGAGGATAGGCTAGAAAATAAACTCCAGGACTCTGAGAGCCTAAAATCCAGATCCGTGGTGGACGACTTCTGGCACCCCGGAATGATGGAGGTAGCAGGGTCGGCCATATTGTGTTGTAGTGGTAGACGGTGAAGCCACGACAGGTGCGTGCACGTCGCCTGCAGGAAACACCCCTCTCCCTTCCCCTCCCCCCCTTCGGGCAGCCAGGAGGTTCGCTAGTGGCTCTGACAGTCATACTCGCCTCGCTCGCTGCCTCTCACCAACACAAGGCAACAGCTGCCATAGCCCTCGCTGGCTGGGAGAGGAACTTCGCCAGCATCCAGCTGACCATGGAGTACCTTCACGACGACGGGCCCAGGATACGAGCAGTCGACACAGGTGAGGTCTCTCCCCCGCGGTCACACCCCGCACACACTACTCCAGGCAGCCACACATTACACTACTCTGTGTACACATCATGCACTTATCAAAGGCCAGCCACACAGCTACAGAGGCACCCAAAGACACCTTCCCAAAAAGTTAACCCAGAAGGTAAACAAGCAGACAGTCGAAGCAGCAGTCAATTAGGGTAGCAAGAGCCTGTTAGTGAGGCAGACAGCCAGTCGGGTAAATACTGCTACTTGTTTGTAATCTTGTCTAGTCACCCGGAAGTTGGTCTACCCGGGACCACGCGCGGTCTCACCCGTATGATACACTTTATAACACTTCAGGTGTAGTGTGTTTCAGGTATGTAGTGTGTTCCAGGTGTGTAGTGTGTTCCAGGTGTGTATACGTACTCACCTAGTTGTGCTTGCGGGGTTGAGCTTTGTCTCTTTGATCCCGCCTCTCAACTGTCAATCAACTGGTGTATAGGTTCCTGAGCCTACTGGGCTCTATCATATCTACATTTGAAACTGTGTATGGAGTCAGCCTCCACCACATCACTGCCTAATGCATTCCACCTGTTAACTACTCTGACACTGAAAAAGTTCTTTCTAACGTCCCTGTGGCTCATTTGGGTACTCAGTCACCACCTGTGTCCCCTTGTTCGTGTTCCACCCGTGCTAAATAGTTTGTCTTTGTCCACCCTGACAATTCCCCTGAGAATTTTGTATCTGGTGATCATGTCTCCCAATATTCTTTTTGTCTTCCATGGATGTGAGGTTTAGCTCCCTTAACATTTCCTCGTAGCTCATACCTGGAGTATACTTGTAGTGTTTCAGGTGTGTTATGGTCCAGGTGTTTAGTGTTCCATGTATTTAGTTCTCCAGGTGTGTGTAGTGTTATAGTTGTGCGTGGTGTTACAGGTGTGTAGTGCTCCAGGGGTGTAGGGCTGCAGGTGTAGTGTTCCTGGTGTGTAGTGCTGCTAGTGTCAGCTGGGTGTAACAAGGTTCTGTCGAATCATATGGTTCGCATATGGCAGTAATTACCGCTAAATTAGCTCCATACCGGCTGGGATAAGTGTCTATCAGTCCTTTATAATTTCTGTCTATTATTATTGTACTGGGTTAAGAGGACTGGAGACACTTCAGGGCAACACAAACCATCCCAGAACTTCGTCAACACACTGGCCAGGAAGGGCTGAGGACCACAGGACTAACACCACCACAAACCAGACACGACAGGGCTCTTTAGCAGACTTAATACTGAACAGACTGGAAGGTATTAATGCAGACAGTTTCTGTAAAAGGATGTATATCGCATACAGACAGCTTCGAGCGTCACAAGACAGCAGGTGATGAGGTCCCGCCCCTGGAACCGCATTCTCCTCGAAGTCGTCACTACTAAGACATTACTTCAGTTCGGAATTTAGATGGAAAAAAACAAGAAATTCTCAGGAACAATGGGAGGGGGACATTTGACAAGTCGCCGGCTTCCTGTCCCCGTCGAGACAACTAGGGAGATGGAAAGGAGAGACTAGGGAGAAAGGTTCGCAGTCCTAACTACTGAAGGGGAAGAGTCCTCGTCACTATGGAATGGGAGGAGTCACTGTTATTGTGGAAAAGGGGCCTTTATTAACCACACATCCACTCCGATAGCGCCAGTGTTGGAGAGGTTCTCACCCGCCTTTGAGGGAGTGATGGAGACACACACCCCCAACACACACTTAAATGGTGAGTGCGTCTTGTAGGGAGGCTGAGTGCGTCTTGTGAGGAGGCTGAGTGCGTGTTGTAGGAAGGCTGAGTACGTCTTGACTTCCGCAGTTGTGGCCTCCACAGCTGCTTTCTACAACTGCAGGTGTTGTTACGGGAGGTTGTAAACACCGGGGTCCCTCGTGTCTCAAAGGTGTGTCTCTTGGTCACCTGACACCCTCCATACCACGCCACCACTGGCAAGCCGTTATTATAGCACCAGCATTGATATAACAGCCGCACTGGTATAACGGCGCCACTGATATAACAGCAGCATCAGAAGCAAGAAGAGCATCACAATACACTCAAGATAGTAGCAGCAAAATAGACCATGTGTGCTGGATGTGACTGGCGGCCCGGAATAAAGGTTCACCGCCCAAATTAGAAATATTGGTACAAATATAGCTTTTAATCCGTAGTGCGAGGCTGAGTGATGGAGCTGCTCTAGTTCAGCCCCGGAGTGATGTGTTCCTGTCATATTAACCTGCAGTGTTCACCTGTTACTCGTGGACAATGTTCTCTGAGCAGCCATGACACTTCTTTCACATCCACCAAAGACCATTCTTTGCTTATATCGTGGTCCATTCTTAGGGTCTAACCACTGACCTTCCTCAGGAGGCAGCCTCACAACGAGGTGATTAGCTCATGGGTACATATTTACTGCTAGGGGGGACAAGGGGGGCATTACGGGAAAGGAAACACGCTCAATCATTTCTGTGCCGCCGGGGATTCAAACCCGGAATTCCCAATTGTGAGTCGAGAACGACCCCGACAGTACTACCGAGTTTGTGGTGTGTGGTATTGATGATGGTGTGTGGTATTGTTGATGGTGTGTAGCACTGTTGATGATGGTGTGTGGTGTTGATGGTGTGTGGTATTGTTGATGGTGTGTGGTGTTGATGGTGTGTGGTGTTGATGGTGTGTGGTGTTGTTGATGGTGTGTGGTGTTGATGATGGTGTGTGGTGTTGATGGTGTGTGGTATTGTTGATGGTGTGTAGCACTGTTGATGATGGTGTGTGGTGTTGATGGTGACTGCCGTGAGTAACATTACTGGATGTTACACACGGGCCACAGGCTTGTGGGCGGAGCAGAATTCAACATATATTTTTAAATTTAATTCTTCTTTGGAATACAGGAGAATAATGTGGTTGTGTTGTTGCAGTGGTTGGGACTTGTAACCTGATTGTGGGGCAGGGAAGAGGAGAGGGGGGGTGTCCCCGTCGCTGCGTGCGTGTGTGTGTGTGTGTGTGTGTGTGTGTGTGTGTGTGTGTGTGTGTGTACTCACCTAGTTGTACTGACCTAGTTGTGTCTGCAGGATCGAGCATTCACTCTTGGATCCCGCCTTTCGAGCATTGGTTGTTTACAGCAATGACTCCTGTCCCATTTCCCTATCATACCTGGTTTTAAAATTATGAATAGTATTTGCTTCCACAACCTGTTCCTGAAGTGCATTCCATTTTCCCACTATCACGTGTGTGTGTGTGTGTGTGTGTACCTAGTCACCTAGTTGTACTCACCTAGTTGTGTTTGCGGGGGCTGAGCTCTGGCTCTTTGGTCCCGCCTCTCAACCGTCAATCAACAGGTGTACAGATTCCTGAGCCTATTGGGCTCTATCATATCTACACTTGAAACTGTGTATGGAGTCAGCCTCCACCACATCACCTCCTAATTTGTGTCATCACTGTGTGTGTGTGTGTGTGTGTGTGTGTGTGTGTGTGTGTGTGTGTAAGAACACTTTGCTTCACATTAGATATAACCATTTGATGACCCTCGCCTTGGGTCCCCCCCTCCCTTCGCCCTAATCTTCCCCCTCTGTGATAGTGTGGCTGAGAGTGAGTTTACCGAAGAGTGCATGAAAGTGAGAGTGTGAGAGTGCGAGTGGTAAGAGTATGCGTGTGTGTGTGTGAAAGAGGGAGAGAGAGAGGGGGAGAGAGAGAGAGGGAGGCTGAGAGTGGGTCAAGGTCAGGGGAGGTCCTCACGCGACGTCAGTAACTGAAAAACACAAAAATATTTGTCCCACAGTCGGTCTGTTATTGTTTGTTTTGAGCCCTAAAACACTCTCTCGCTCTCTCTCTCTCTCTCTCTCTCTCTCTCTCTCTCTCTCTCTCTCTCTCTCTCTCTCTCTCTCTCACACACACACACACTGGAGCCTCGCGGCTGAGTGGACAGCGCTTGGGGGTCGTAGTCTAAATGGCCTGGGTTCGATTTCCGGCGGAGGCGGAAAGAAATAGGCAGAGTTTCTTTCAACCTTGATGCACCTGTTCACCTAGCAGTAAATAGGTACCTGGGAGTTAGACAACTGCTACGGGCTGCTTCCTGGGGGTGTGTGAGTGCGCTTCTGTTAGAAAGAAATATATGTAGTAGATATAATAGAGAAAATATAGATGGGTTAGAAAGGCGGGGTCCAAGAGCTAATAGCTCGATTCTGCAGACAGAAATACTAAATAGAAATATAAAATAGTAAATACACTCCGCAGTATGAGTGGGCAACATATCAGATATATTAATATATCAACATTTTGATATATTAAGCAAAATCACAAAGAGGTTTTAATAAGGGCTTATCAAAAAGGTCAACTGTGATTGAATCACTACGAGACAAGTTTAGTTTGAATGTCCAACAAGCACAAAGTGTAAAGTTATTACCAGCCGTCATAATACATTAGTATCTGCCAGCCGGCTCCGTCCTGGCCATCTTGGTGGCTTTGTATTGACTGAAGGAGACCGGCTTTATTGTTATTATTTTACACCTCACTGGTTAGTTCACTTTCAGCTTTGTAAATTGTAACTGCGCTTGTCGTCTACAGTTGTGTGTAGCAAGGCTGGGGAGCTGTACCTGTGTACTTTACTCTTGTTAGGATTATATTTACAAGAATTTCCAAATGTTGAAGTGATGATAGTATGTTTTGTACTTTGTTTTACACACACACATACACACACACACACACACACACACACACATACACACACACACACACACACACACACACACACACACACACACACACACACACACACACACACTCACACACACACACACACACACACACACACACACACACACACACACACACACACACACACACACACACACACACACACACACACACACACACACACACACACACACACACACACACACACACACACACACACACACACACACACACACACACACACACACACACACACACACACACACACACACACACACATACTCACACACACACACACACACACACACACACACACACACACACACACAC